ATTTGTGCGCGTCGATGATGATGAAAAACCTACAAGATATTGATCATGTTGCTGCTCCGATCGTTGTAAGAGGTGTTCTATGTTACTGAATTCGACCGCTAGACTGTTCTCGCGATAAGCTTCGTTAAGAGTCTTATAAAAGTGTTCATCATTTTTAGTAACGTCTTTCGCTAGTATCAAGGACATCACTCCTCCTCCACTTTTATCATCGATTTGGTTCGATTGGTGATGTGCCTCACCTGCTTCAGAGACGTTTTCTCGAAAAAACTTAATTTGTTCATTTACATCTTCCCCGATTGCAGCGGTCCCCATTCGATGCTCTAAATCATTTTGGTGATCAGCCATTTCATTTATTTGAAATATATTGCTGTTTAGCAATTGTGAAGCCGTATTTTTCTGGCCTGACAAAGGAGTCATTTCTTTAGAAGGAGTAGTTGTCTTAAAAGTCTGATCATTTAGTCCTCTACCAAGTGATATTGTACGGTTACTCACGGATCGTCTATTCAAAATATGTTTTAATACTTCAGACTGTGGTTGGTGCTCGTAAAAATACAAGTCAGCGTTAGAGCATATCTTACGCGGTAACTCACCGTCGATTTCCTGTGTCCTTTGTTGGGATGGCGTACTTATGGTAGGAATTATTCTGTTGGAGCGTAGCTTAGCACCTAAGTCGGGAAATTCATCAGCTGTGTCACAGTTCAAGTGAGGCGATTTACAGTTAACATCGTCTGCAGTAAACGGCGGAGATATAGTAGGTTCCTTTGGAAATTTTCGCTGCTCTTCTAACAAATTACTCAGAATAACTACTTCATTTCGCATGATTTGATGTTCTGGGATAGGGCGCTCTTGCCCACCGCGCGTATCAAAATCATTAGTTATTTTGACTGCATTTCCCAGTTCGTGACTTAAAAATTTTGGCTGCTGTTCAAGAAAAGCTATAAAGTCGTCTGTCATTAGATCTTTTTCATAGTCTAAATGGCTGCTTGTTGAATGCACCACCAGGTCTAAATGTTGTACTTTCTCTTGTTGCTCTTTAACAGCCATCAGGCCCATTAGATTATTTATCACTGACTGTTGTTCCAGGGATATGCTTTCCAATTTTTCCATGCGTGACCATATCTTACTGTATTCTGTCGATAACATATCCAAACCACGCCAGGCAAATTTCAATTCCGTCTCAAGCATACTTATACGCGTCGCTATCTTGTCCATATAATCGGAGATGATGTAATCGCAATGGTGTTGCGTGTTATAAAATTGGCAAAAGTGCCGCTGCGTAGGTGCAGAGGACAGTTCGTTTCCATGGGAAAAACGATTATAACCGCAGGAGGCATTCGAACTCAACCCTGATGAAGAGTTTAAAACAAATGGCTGGGGCGATCTGAATTGATTTTCTTCTTGTGGTTGGTGCTGTTGAATATATTGCAAGTTGCGGAAACTAGAATGTTGGATGCTCGCGTCCTTCTGATTACAAAGAAGCGATTCAAATTGTTGCTTTTGTTCTGATGCATTGTAACGCAGCTCGCTATCATTGGCATCTGCTACGTTTAATAACTGATAATACTTGGGGGAACTGTTAAGTGAGTCGTACTGATATTGTGATAAATTTTCAGCGGTCATCATATAGCCATCAGTACCTGCTTTTCGCTGCATTAGTTCAAAATTTAATTGCTTCGGCAACGAAGTCAGTGACATTTTGTTTTAAATTTTATAATGGACCGCTAATGATAGAAATTGTAATGTCGAATACTTAACATTCTCTGAAGACTAACTAATTGTAGAGACAAAATTTGAATTAAGCTCTAATGTAATATGTAACAGAAATAAACTAAAAAAACCCATACATGTTAAATAATATAGGGTCCAAATCTTTAAAATATTTCGTTCAATTTTAAACTCAAGATTGGATTCCTTCTATAGAAGTCGCTATATAATTTATAAGTCTTCCATGACGAAAAGAAACAAAACTTACTCCAAATTTTTATAAAGCTAAATAAGTAGTTACAGATTTTCGAGCTTTGCCTAATTTGTATCAAATTATACGTCCATGACGTGTTCTTAATTTATTATCAACAGCTACCCACTCATAATACATCCTGGCCTTGCTCACATTTCATAAAAATATGTGTCTTGAAAAAGAAACTCTAATATGAACACTAAATAATAACATATTAAAACACACTATACATGGGCAGTTATTTCCCAAAAATCGATTTTATGCAAAACGCAGTGCAATCGGATGTGTCCATGCGCCCGTATGTCATTATTGATTCCTAAAGTTTGTAGACAACAACTTTAAATGAAAAAGTTATAAAATAGGTCATTATTTCCAGAGATAAGTTATTTAATATGTAGGTTTGTTAGCACATAAGCATATTTTTAATAGGGATTGGGAAAAACTGCAATTGTGTTGTAAGTATTGACAAAAATTTCTTTACATGGCTAAGTGCCTAACATACTTAAATTTTCATTTTTATTAATTATTTTCTGTTTTTCAATTAGCTTCATTTCGTTGTTTTATTTTTAACTGTTCCTTATAAGCGAGCGCCAGATGTGTAACTATAAACTATTTAGTTTTTGACAGGAAAATTGAACGCTTGCAGTTTAGTCAAATAATTTTTTTTTTCCATTATACTCGAAAGTTTTGTTTCAATTTTGCATTTGATTCGTAGCGTTTTCTTTTTATAACTTTCAAGAAGATTAATTGATTTTTTTCGTAATGTTTAAAAATTGTTTAAAGTAAACTCTGACTTGGATTCCAGCGACTTTAAACGGGCAGCCGAATAAACAAATAAATGAATTAGAGAGCTTATGAGCTTAGACATCACCGAAGAAATTTGTACGTCATAAAACCCCGTTCTCCACTATAAATATGGTTTCCATACTACTGCTCCTTGAAAAGAACAAAAAGTGCACTAAGTGAAATCAACGAAACAAATAAAGCTCTTTTCAGCGAATCAAAGCTTCCACAATACGAACTATGTGGCAACATTATTAAACACTAAAACAACCCTTTTATCTCCATAGAAAGTTCGCCGATTATACGGCTGTGTAAAGCAACTGTTTTACTATTTCGACCTAATTTAATGACGTCTTTCTACGCCACCATCGCGTAGAAATAGATACCAATTTATTTTAATAATTTTAAAACAGTCTCATTAGAATTGTTTAACTACGTTTTTCTCTTCTTAGCTTTAAGGTAAAAATGTGTATGCATATTGAAAAACACCAAGTCAAACTAAGAGTGCCAAATACGGCCTTATTGTTACACAAATGTTCGCTACAAAATTGTTAACTTTTGTTGAAAAAGTAAAAAAACCCAAAAAGATTTGGCTGTATATATGCTTTTGTTGGTTCACCAATGCACATTGACATGTATATGCGGAAGTATAATAAGGGTCTAAATTAAGTACACAGAAATTTTCGTAAAGTATATTGCTATTTCTACTTTCCTGTGTCAGACAACTTTATAAATATTCAATAAATTTAAATATATATTTTTTTAAGAACTAACGAAAGAATTTTTGGGAATATTCATCTGGATTTTATATTAGTCATTCTCCCAAAATATTTATCTATAAAATATGAAACTAAGGCAAACCACTTTTGATGAATTTGACGTAACAATTCGTTTTTATTTCCATTTGCAAGATTTTGGTTAATCTTGCAGCAAGAATATTTGCACACAAAAATTTCGAATTATCATATATACCTATTATTGAAATTGAAATAGATTCTTAGGTTTTTAAAATTTAAATGTAAAACCTATGTACATACTTACACACGATTCAGAAATATGCGAATGTTATCAAAAAGAAGAGTTAAAACAATTTTAAACGTCGTAGCCACGTCTAATACATTTCACCAATATTTCTACGAAAATACAATAAATAAACCCTAACGTAAGATATTTAAAATGATTCCTTGTTGGCATATTTTTCGTAAGAATCTTTACATGGGAACACGCCCAAAACATGAGCCAACGTGATTTAAAGTTAACTTATTTCATTAAAGATTTATTTATTCTCTACATATTTTCGTCATAAAATACTCAGAATTATACGTTGTTAGCGTACAAAAGCTAACTTTTCATGAAAACTCTTGTATTGAAAGGGATATGAAAGTTAGCGGAACCGACCTTACCATTTGTGATAAAAGGTATATCATTTGATTTGAGATGAATCCGCCTTTCAAAATTTTGAGCCACTTTGAACCGTCAAAATACACCTATCGTTGTGATGACCTTTGACAATATAAATCTTAGTGATTTCTTGATAGGGGTCGATACGCTCTCACGCAACGCTCTGAAATAGCAAAAATTCAATGGGAAAATGGTGAAAATATGACGAGACGGCTCATAGAGTTCATACTGGTTTTGGTCAACATCAAGCACCTACTGTAATCAGTGTAATCAATAAATTCGAGCATCTCGGACAATGTGCTGTGAGGATTCCAACCAATTTTGTGTGGGAATGAATTTTTTTAAACTTTTTTCTTTGTTATGATGGAAGTTTATCCATTTCATATATACACTTACTTTCGCTTATGGACTCTATATGGACTATAGTGATTTAGTTTTAGGATCTCTTTCGCGTTCTCATGAAAAAAAGCTTTAGAAGGCAGCTGATAAATAACATAAACTTCCCCCCACAGTAAGTTTACAAGTAATAAATATTGCTTTTACATATTAGTGTGTATACCAAATATGTTTAACCAGCACCAACGAACTCACTTGTTAATCCGTCATGCTTATTGAGACCCTATATATATAGTTTTCGAAGTAGGTAAGAAATGTTTTCTTTTCAATGATAACATTTACACTATCACAAACTGTTATACTTATGTGCAAGGGCGCGCACAATCGTTGAAGCACATCATTATATATATTAAAATAAAAGAGACATAGTAGGCAAAAGTTCCTAATGTAATCTATGTCTCATATATCACAGGTATATGTAATGAAATAATTAAACACAGATAACGGGTTATTGTTTACTTACATTGAGTTGAATGATAATTTTGTTGAAGGCCCAATGCCATCGTTGACGAGCAGTTATCTCCGGTTTACGCTTGGGGATCTGCATGTGTCCGCTAACAACTTCCTCAGTTTCACCACGGGTTAATTTATTTTTGCGAATTTGTAAAGTCTGATGGCCTGGATAGATTGTGAGATTGTGAAGTTCGTCGACATCATCCATCAATAGTATATTACTGGACTTGCGACTGAGAGATTTAGCTGGAGAGACACCGCTTTTATCACTGAGCACGATTGACGATAACTCGTCCTCTTCCATAATGATGCTGTTTTGCTTTTTGATTTGTTGATGTGCTTGTAATTGATTTGCCAATGTGGTTGTTAGATTGGCCACAACTAAATCTTCTGTTTGCGTTGTGTGCTTCTGGGTTTCTAAAGAACGATTAATCTTGTCTATTGCGTTTGGGTATATTCCACTACCACTTGAGCTTTCATCTAAGTAATTACCGCTATCCTCACTGGGGTACATATCATCCACGTAGTCAATTGATGTTTCCAACTTACGCATATCTTCGTCACTGTACTGCAATGATTTTTGATACACTGAATTTTGCTGTTGTGGCTGTTCCTTCGGCGATATATAAAATTGGTTGCCATTATTAACTTTTAATATTTTCTGAGTTTCCCGCTCTTTGTTATTTTCATCAATTTGAAGATATTTGTATTCGTCCTCTTCGTTAAAATAATCGTCGCGATAATCATAACCACCGTTTGCGTGTTCATAATAGCTACTAATGAGATGACTGGTGACCCTTTGGTCGTCTAAAACTTCTGTTAATTTTTGCGAACTTATGCTATATTCATGTTGTTCGTTATCAATGTCATAGTTAAGATCGTGCCTGATATCTACATCTTTGTCGGTATTGAGCACATCTTCTTCATCAGTGTCATAAGTTTCTGTTGGTTGTTGTTTCATCAAGTAGCCCGATTTTGCGGGGTTAATAATGGGCAGTTTTTTGCCAGTGGATGTAACAACTGGCACAGTTGGGAGCAATTTCATTTGGTGTTGATTTTGATGGTCGTATGTTTGATATTCTGAACTTTGTTCGTAATTTATTAGTTTCAGAGTACTGTGTTCATAACTATCATTGTTGGTGATTGAATATGGGCTGCGTCCATGTTGTTGTTCTAAAATCACTTCCCTTTTGCAACTAGTTCCAGTGGTTTCAGTGCTGTCAGTAGTTGCGGGAATCGTCTCCTTGTTAGGTGTCAACTGATGCTTCTGTTGTTGGCCCTTAACATTATTAGAGTTGGGTACTTTTTGTACAACCGCGCTTGCAATTGAAGCCCCTTGATTAACTGCCAGCGTGGCTGATTGAACAGCGGCAGCTGCTTTTCCTAAAAATGTGCCAAACATCCCTCCGCTGGCAGGTTTGGATCCTGTTACACTAACCGCTGTCCTAGTAGTTGGTGGCGTAGGTATTTGAGAAGCAACTTGTGATAACGATGACAAAATATTTTTAGTCTTCTTTGCAGTTTTCACCGTTTCAGTAGTCGCTGTAGAAACGGGAAGCGTACTTGGAGTGCTGAACGCGATCACTCTTTGTTTATCATCAATGCATTGTGGTCCGGCCTCTCTTTGATCCTCTGCATGACCATTCCTATCATAGTTTACCTCAAAGCTCACATCGTGCTCTGCGTTTGCAAAGGTTTTGTCTGCATCGTATAGTTTTGTTTCCGATTTAAAAGATGGACCGAATGTTTTTAACCCCGCATTGTCATAATCATCACTGCTCGTCACGTGATAAAATGTAGAGGACTGAAGGGTTTTGTGTAAATTCCCAGCGTCTTCAACTTTCCTATTATCTTCTTTATAAGTTGTGATGCAAACATTATTGTTGAGTAATTTTTCATCTACAGTGAGGCTATTCTTACCACAGCATTCTTCCTTGGCGATTTGTATGTTAGAAAAGTTTGTTTTTAAGTCAGAACTGTTAGGCGTTGATTCTGCCGTCGACATAGATATCGTAATATGTTCAATTCCTAATGTTTCCAAAGTAGATCCACTTATTAGCGTACTTGAGGTCGTTGTCTCCGCTGTTGTTGAAATATGTTTATTGCCTCCGCTCAACAGGTTACCAACGTTTGGTACCAATTTCGAAGGAAAACTGAAACCGAAGCTCTTCCTTGTACTGCTGGATTGTTTTTGAGAAATATTACTGCTGGTTGTGCGACCACCAATAACAAGTCCGTCAAGCCCATCTTTCAAACCCTTGGAGAAATCATCCAGCAGGTTAGAGGCCTTGCCAGCAACCAAAGTTGTTGTTGCTGTAGGAGTTTTATGTGGATCCGAAGGAGATGACTTTGATGATGTAACTTCGTTTTCTGATGCTATTGCTGACAGCTTGTTGTCACTATCTGGTCTAATGACATCGGTGGTAATCTCACTAGTAGTAGCGTTACAATTTGCGTCAGTGACACAACTTACGGCGTAAACCAAAGTATTGCTTTCTGTCGGAGTGTTAAAAATTGTATCACTAACTTCTGGAAAACTTTGTATGTCACTTGATTTTGAAAGTAAAGGCATTGTCGTTGTGACAGCGCTGGTTGTTTGCTGCACTTCTGACTGATTGGTGATAGTGACAGATTTCATTAAGAAGTTTAAGTCTACATCGTAACTTGTATAAAAACTGTTATCAAAACCTACTGTTGTCAAAAGGGCTTCACTTGTTTTTGAGTACGGTGCAACTGATGAAGAATCAAACGTTTCAAAGGTTAAATAATCATTGCTTTTATTATTTAAAACGATGGTGGTAGCAGCAGGAACATAGCCCGGAAATTCCGCTTTGTTTTCTTCTACTGTTAGGTCTGATAATGCGTTATTTTGATCATCAATAACAAGCGGTTTTGTTTCCGCTTCAGTAGGTAAAAAAGTATCGAGATCACTTAACTTGTACATGCTTAAATAACTTTTAGAATAGTCACCAAACGATGTTAAGAGCGTATCGCTAATATACACAGGTAGATCTGTAGCAATCGGTACAGTCGTCGAGATTGTTGTAAATGTAGACGTAGTAGATGTGTGGCTACATGTACTATTAAGACTTTTTAAATAGTCTTCATATGTTATTGTGGTAAAGTCAACAACTGGACTATGTTCGCTTAATGTTCTTTGTGTGGATTTTTTGAGAGTAGGGCTTGTACTTACTGGCAACGATTCAAATACCTTGAAATTTGTTGTAGGCAAACTATTTGTATACAATGATGTTAATGATGATGAAATCATCACATCAGTGCTGCATTTTGTGGTTGTGATTATCGGACACGAATTATTCAAAGTTGAGGACTCAGCCGCACTTATTGGACTCACTTGCGGCGACTTTTCAGCCGTTGTTACTCTCACATACGTTGTAATTGTGGGTAAAATGGTAGCTACCGTAGAAGGAAACGTATATTCTTCTATAAAATCATCTGATTTATTTGAAGTATACAGACCCTCTAATTTCGAATTGACGGTTACTGTTCTGGTTGATGCTAATGTTAATGAACACGGCGAAGCTATCGTTGATGAGGATGATATCAGAGGTAATATGGAAGATTCATTTGTAATCTCGGGCTTTATATCTGTAATTAATGACACCACTGATGTTAGTGGTAATACTGGCGGGGTATGCGCAGTCGTGAGAGGTTTGGTGCTTGTATAACATGTGTCTCCTTTGTTGTCGTCTGAGAATGCGCTGTTATAACTGTACTTAGTGTAATCATTCCTGAAGTATGAATTTTTGTTAATACTGTCAGTGTTGTCATTATTAAGACTGTGATCGAGATTACTGTCACCAAAAGTTTTTTTCAATACAGTAGTTTCACTGTCACTAATGTTTGCTATTTCAGTAGACACTGCTTCAGTTAAAGTCATATTAGAAGTAGAATTGTTGTGAATGCTAACGTCACGCGATGATAATTGTGATGATGACGGTTGAAAATTTATGTGACTTTCGATGGTATTAGGGTCAGATTTTTTAACAAAACATGGATCCAGAAAACCTGCAGGTTTCGAAATGGAGAGAAATGAGGGAAATGTTAAATTGCTGCTACTACTTGTCGTGTATGTTGTTGACGATATGTACGAATTTAAATAATTCTTTTCACCGAAAGCATCCTCTACACTGAAATCGGATGTGTTCGTCGTAGTTGATATTGTGGTTAGTGGTGTTGTTAATGCAGACGGAGGTTCCCTCAATGGCTCGAGGTCATTATATGCCAGGTTTTCTGTTTTCCCTGTGTCTGGGTATGTAGATTTAAATGCCACAGTAGACATTTTATTCCTTATAAATTCCTCCGCAAAGTTTTCTTTCATTGTTAATGTTTCTTCTGATTTTATATTATATTTCTTAAAATCAAAAAATTCTTTTCCATTATTGTTGTTGTTGTTTTTTGCATCGTTATCAAATGTTTCTCTACTAAAGTCATAGCTACTCTCATTGTTGGAGTGAAGCCGTTTAATTTCGTTACCATTAAAAAGAAGAGTACTTGAATCAAAAGATTTAGCTGACGATGCCGTTGTCGTAACAACTGCTTCCAGCGCTGTTATCGTTTTCGTGGTAGTCAAAATGGGGGAGGAAGATGCTTGTGATATGGTTGTTTGTGATGATGTTGCTACTGCCAGTTTTGTTGTCGGTTTTAATGCTGTCGAGTTTAGTGGTACAGATGTTGATGATGATGATAATGATGTTAGCGATGTTGTGGGTAACATGAACGGTAACGTATTGATAACTTCAGGCGTTTCCGCTGTTTTTGTTCGGGTACTGGTGATTGTATGTGTCAATGTTGAATTTAAGCTTTGCGCCGTAGAAATTGTAATAGGTACTCTATCATCTTTACTAAAGCACGAAGATGAATCCAGTAAGAATGTTGGTGGTTGTGGTAAGTGTTTACCCAAGCTGGGATACCGGGTCGTCGTAGTTATTGGGGCAACTGGCAGACGTTTGGGTAATTTTTTAGCGATTGTATTTAATGTTGGCACCGCCGTAACCTTTGTTGACATTGGCGTCTGCGATGCAACTATCGGAGATGACGACGACAACAGTATAGACGTTGATGTAGCTAAGGTTACTGATGAAAAAGCAGTGGTATTGCCTAAACTTCTGGAAGCGACCATTAGAGGTAAATCGGTATTTTCGCATATGTAGCTTTTGGTCTCTCGGTTATCATCTTTTGTTGAATATATCTGATCGATGGAATGGCTGGCGCTTGTCTTAAGACTCTTAGACGCCCCTCCTAACTTTTTACTTAATTGATGTGGCGACATACGAGTCTCGCCGCTAGCTATTACAGAAGCAGTCGTCATAGCTTGTATAATCGAAAATCGACGCTGTTGTAGTCCATGCAGTTTATGTGGTGCGATATTTGTTGTTGTGGTGGATGCGGTTGAGTCGCTACAGATAGACGTACAGTCGCTGGAAAAACTAAATTCAGCATCAAAAGACGATTGATGCATATGAATAGCCATTTGTGGGCGTGATTCCGTCAGACAATAATCAGAGTAGTCGGATGCACTACTATTGATGTGTATGATATGAGCTGTGTCGCCATAATAATTGTACTGGTTGTTTATTGTCGCTAATGTCGTCGCGGTGTCTTTCCTTGCAGTCGTTTCATTTGAGGTATCTTCAAATAATTGGCGCTTTAAATTAATACAAGCATTTACTTGGGGCCGTGACAATGCACGCAAAGGCACCACCGGCAAAAACTTATTCGCACTGCGAATGCTACTGCCACACACAGTCGTGACCCCATAAGAACCAGACTCATCACTAACGTCGTAGGGTGGTATTATAGACTTCTTATGCATATTGTCATAGTCTTTGCCCCAAGCAGGATTCGTTTTGTCAATACCTACATCAACTTCTGATATTGAAGGCAGATTGGCACCTTCACCGTCGAAGTTTATCGGTGGTCTATTGTACATACCATCCCAAGTAACACTGCTGTGTGGCTGCTCCGGCGCCATCTCAGGCAGAGTTTTCAACATGTGACCCAATTCGCCTTGGGTGTCACTGTTGACAAGTCTCCAATGGTCGTTACATTCGTATTCATCATCGTTCTTCATTCCACTTCCACCATCGTCATCGTTATTGGTCAAAATTGTATTCTTGGTATTGCTGTCTTCCTGAGGATAGGCATTATGGTGAAACATTAAATTATCTGTAGCCATTACAGACTGGACATTCATAGTATTATATTTTTCAAAGGTTTTCCTATTATTAGCCACTGTCATAGGTACGAGAAATGGTTTCTTGTAATTAACTCCGTTACTGGTCGACGAACACTGCTTGCTGTATTGCGCATTATCGTATGTGTGGAAGAAAGTTTTCGCAACACCACGATCATAATTGCTATAACTATGTAAAGTGCTACTAATTGGTCGGCTATTATAGGATAAGGCATCAATTTCATTGAAATAATTATCGTTTTGAGAATAAGACTGCAATGACACATAAAAACACAGAAAGAATTCACGAATAAGTCTTGGCATTCGCAGTTTATACTATATTATAAGCGCGTATAAGTATAGGACCGACAATTTTAATTGAAGATGGACGCTGCAAGGAGTTTGGGCATAATATTTGCTAGAAATCGGGCATAAATTATATATATATATATATATATATATATATATATATATAACAAGGTGGTACTAAAATATATATATATATAACAAGGTGGTACTAAAATATATATATATATATATATACAAATATATATTTGTACACATAAATATATATTATCTTTAGCACATATATTTTAGTACCACCTTGTTTTTAGTTGCTTTTACTAGATTAACGGTAGAGGATTGAATGTTTTTATTTATAAAACAGTTTAACGATGCTATTACCTTTCCTACGATCGCTTGTGCAGATTAGAATTTATCGTTGGGAGTGGACTTCAAATTTCAAATATACTAATAAGATTCTCAAATCACAAATTCTGTTTTATGCAATAATCATTAAAATATATAAATGCGTATGTACACATTCATATTGGACTGTTTTGTCATGTCAGTGGTTTCCGCATCCACTGATGGCTTCATATTGGTAGTGTAAATTTATTTCTGCTGATTTGTTTGGCAACATTTTAGCCATATTACAAAGAAATTGCACGAAGTACTTTATTTAAAATTGTGTTCATCGCTTGCCACAAAAAACTTTTTCGCGCACAATGGAAGCTATGCTGCGAGAAAAAATATTTTATCAATTATGACCCATGATACTTAGGTTTCCTAAATGGATGAAACGCTTAATGCCAGGAGATCCAAATAATAATGATATTACAGTAAATTTAGCAATGCCTCTGTACTATGTAGCTAGTTTTCTGTGAATGAGGAAACCCGTCAATCGAGAGGTAAATTGAAAACATTCATTAATGTTGTGAAAAAAATACTAGCACATATAATGTGGATACAAGATAGAAATCTATAAAAATGTATCAGGTCTAAATTCTAGGTTATAGAGGTCAACAAAAAACTCCTTTTTTTAGAAGACCAACCCGATAAAAGACGTCTAAGAATTTTATATCAAATGTGTAACCATCTCCCCTATATAACTGATTTCAAAAAGTGCTTGGAAAATAGTAGTAAACACGCAAGAATTTCAACAGGATCGAATGGATCCTTATTATCATAATGTGTAAAATGTATTGGGAGAT